TATCACCACTGCTCTGCGCTCTCCTCATCGCTCTGTCCCGCACCTGCGATTACAAGCACCACTGGCAAGGTGAGCATGCTGGCCCGGGGGAGAGGAGAGCAGGGGCTGTGGGTTGTGTCCTGTGGGAACAGGGTTAAGTAATTGGGGCATGCTCAGTGACCATGGTGATGGGCACCCTAGAAGACCCTGGATAGGTAGCATGGGGCACTGATGTTCAGGACTCTAAGTGGGACAAGGGAATGTTGGTGAAAGAAAAAGTCATTTCCAGGGTCGTGATCTCTCATACTCTTTGGGCTGTAAGTAGTGGAGGCAGAGAGCTCACTGTGAAATGTGTGTTCTGCTCAGCACTAGAGCTGAAGATTAAGTGGCAGCTCTAACTGGAGCACCATGAGCAGGCTTGAGAAGAGCAGGCATCGTACTCACAGTGTGTAGTGCCTGGAGCTGTGCCATGGGACGGGTACTAATGAATGGGAAAGTGGCTTCGGGGATTGTTGCCTGGTCCCAGTAAGAGCTCTGAACAGCAGTGGATTTGCCAGGCCCCACGTTGCCTATCGTTGTGGTGTCTGAGCATAGCTCCTTGGGGTTCAGTGGGACAGTGCAGCGAGCTGGGGGTGAATAACCCTTTTGTTTCCACCCCACAGATGTGCTGGTTGGCTCAGCGATTGGTTTCACATTTGCATACCTATGCTACAGGCAGCATTACCCTTCCCTGACTGACGCAGAGTGCCATAAACCATTGCAGTGTAAATCGAAACTACCACCAGCACGGGAGCAAAAGCTGGCCAGCTCCAGCTTCCACATGGAAATATGATGATGGGATCCACTTTGCTGGGACTGGCCCCTGGTTAATCATTCCTTCCGCTCTTCAGCCCATAGGGTGGGGAAGGGTACAGGCTTTGGGACCATCGCTTACTGCCTACTTGGTGAAGTAACTGAGTAACCCAAAGGAGGATGTGGCTGATAGCTGAATAGGAATTGCTCCCCTGAACATGCAGTAAGTGGTCCTGCTCAGCAGGCCTGTGCTCGGACCATTCTCGTTTGCAAGACACTCCCCTCTTTCAGGCCAGCCCTGGAGGAAGCTGTGTAAGTGACTGTACGCCAGCCTGCAGGAGGGAGGGGAGCAGGCTGTTAATCACACCTAAAATAGTTCAGAGTACACAAGAGCTCAGCCTTGTTGTGGTTTTGGGGGGAGGAAAAGCAGCATAGTACCTGAATCATGTCATTTACTAGGTTTTTAAATGTCAAATAAAAAGCTGGTGTAAATTCAGTGAAACAAGTTCTATTACTTTTTGGCACTAAAGAACATCATCTGTCTTTTTACGTAGCTGGCTCATTTTATATAACGTAGGTCAGTTTTGTCTGTCCATTATTAGCAATTCTAGGCAAGGTTTGTTTCCTCCCTCCTCAGTGTACATTAATAACAATGAGAGATGACAGTCAGTAGCAAATGACAGTTGTCTTCACAGTTGTTGAAAGGGTGACTGGTAAAGCAAGTGTATTCTGTCACAGGGTTTGGTTTGTTCTACTGTTGAGGGTTACAGCTCTCCCAAATCTAACCATAAAAGAAAGTAGCAGTAATTTCTTTAAGATAACCTTCAAAAGCACCTGTTTTGCTGGCTGGAGGTGAGCAGGCAGTGTTGAGGCTGTTTCATACAAAGCTGAAGGACAATAACAAGGTGAGCTCTGCCACTTTTAGAATTGGGCATCTCCTTTGTTTCATGTTCTCTTCTCCCAAGCACAGAAGCAAGATGCGAACAAGAGGCTGAATCATGGGCTTTGCTGAAAAACTCTTATTCTTACAGCAATACACTCATTTTATAAGCAGCTCTCCCTGCCTATGAACAAAGGTGCTTCTAGTTGGTGCTACTTCTTAGTTCTGTTTTCTCCTGTAATGCTTGTCCACTGCAGTGGCCTTTTGTAAAATGCCAAGGGCTCCTCTTGGGAATTTTGACAACAGCTTTAGTTTGCCATGAAGTTAGATCCCAAAATAATAAGTTCTCACATTCCACTCCCTCCCACACACCCCCAAACTCTCCCTCACACAAACACAACCACTGCAACCATAGCTTTACTTTTGTATTGACTGGAAAAAGACATTAAATAATTTTAAATGCATTTAAATTTTTTACCCAAAGTGCATAACTTGAAGAGCTGGTCATGACTGTGTGTCCTGTTAAACAGTTCCTTCTTACATACCTCCAGGAGATGTGATAGGAATCCAGGAGCTTAGCTGTGCAGAACATCACTGCCCACAGTCAGATGTGAATACAGCTTCTCTTAGTTCTTTTGGAGGGGGCAGGGTTGGGGAATACAAAATGTATTTAAATAGTGCAAATAATACACAGAAGAAAAACAAACAAGCTCATTGCACTGGGAAAAGGCCTATTGCACTGTACAGCAGGAGGGGGAACGTGGGAGTGGCCACTTCCAGACCCCAGCCCAGAGACACTATCACACGCTCACAGCATTTGCTCTCCCTTGCTCAAGGGAATCCACACGCTAAGGGGTTAGTTTAGTCAGTTGTTTACCCTGTACATCTTTGGTTACAAGAGATTTATCATTTTAGTATCTCTGCCCCATAAGTTACCCTTACAGTGCTTCTAACAGCAATCGTTCAGCAGCTCCTGGTTAATACAGCATAAGCCATGGCTGTGTACAAAAGGTTGCTTATAGGTTCACCAGCAGGGTCATCCACATTTTGTGAACGTGGATCTAGTGTCACAGCACCTGTTTACATAGTAGAGGTTGATTGATGGTGCCAGATGCTCCCCTCAGTTGTACCAATGTAGCCACTTTGAACTCAGCAGTGTGGAATGGGTGTGGTGAAGGAAAGCGTTTGGCCCATGAATCGCACTGAAAGCCTCTACCACCACAGCTATTCATCCACGCTTGAGTGCAGCTATTTTTTTCTCCTAATGAGGTCTTGACTGAATCCAGATTGAATGCTTTGCTAAGGAACTGGACATGGAGTTGGTCTGTCCTCAGCCCCCTGCTGCAGTTATTGCACCGCTTCTCACACTACAGTTAGAGGGCTTAAGCCCCTCTTCCTTGGACAGATCCCACTCCTCCTGCAGAGGGGTTTTGCCTGTGAAGGAGAATGGAATTAGAGATGGTTCAGGCTTCATCCCTTCATTGATGTGCCAGCCTCAAGTAGCCCAGGGCTCTGGGTCTGTGTTAGAAATATACTGCAATGGGCTAGGCAGCCTGAACTCTGACGTGAAGCCATACTTGGGTTTATTCCTAAGCCTTGAGTTAGTTCGGTTAATAGTAAATAAGCAGCAACCAGACATCTTCATGATCCGGTGCAAACACCTGTCATGACTTCAGCTGGTATAAAGCAAGGAGCTTAGGAGACCAATTCCCACCTGCTTCCATAGCAAACACTTTTTTCCCTAATACAGTGAGACCACGCTGCGGGTGGACACCAAGGGGAATGGTGTTGGAGTGAACGATCCCATGGGTGTGTCAATAGGTACAGGGACAAGTCCATAGTGGGTATTTTAGGAGAAGAGTGTTTTGCCTTGATTTTCCCCCCAAAAATGAGAAAAATCTCCCAGTGCTCCAGGCAGCAGCAGGTACGTGGGAAGCAGCATGCAGGATACAGTAGCAGCAGAGGATAGGAAGGCAGAGGAATCTCCGGGCTTTCCAGGTGAGTAGTCACTTGGTGTGCATCTAGGGAAGCAACAGGAAAGGGCACACAGCTTACAAGGAAACAGGGTTTATGCAGCATTAAAGCCTGAACGCACAAGGGGATTTTCCATGTAGGTGAGATCACCCCCACGTAAGCCAGTAGCACACCTCAGGCCATTTCCTAATGCACACGAGTCTCATCACCCCAAGTGCCATTAGCTGTGCCAGCCTAGTCAGGGTTCTAACACAGGATTTGTGTTTCCAGTAGTGTTCATCCAGTACTAAGTTCACTTAAACACCTTCCTGAGTAAATAATGAAGTTCTAGAGGCTGAGGAAAGAGCATGATTGGGCAGAGAAAAAGTCCAGATTCATTCTCAACATCTTGGGGTCTATTCCTAGGGAAATGATTTTCTCTCTGTATGGCACTGGTGAGACCATTACTGGATATTCTTTCTAGCCATGGTGTCCACACTTTAAAAAAGGATGTTGAAAAATTGGGAGTGTTCAGAGAAGAGCTCTACGAATGATTCAATGACTGGAAAACATCTTGCAATAAGAGCAGTCAATGTAGTTTAATCAAAGAAAAGGTTAAGCGGTAGACTGATCAAGTCACAAGTACCTTCCTGGGGAGGAGACAGTGGATACTAGAGGGCTCTTTAAGCTAGCAGAGTAAGCATAACCAGATTCATTGGCTGGGAGTAAAAGCTGGACAAATTCTAAACAGAAGGCCCATTTATTCATTTTTTTTTAAGAGTGAGGAGGGTTCATGGACTGGAACAGCTTCCCAAAGAAGGTGATAGAGCCTCCATCACTTGGAGTCTTTCAACCAAGCTTGTATCTTTTTATAAAGACATCCTCTAGCTTAGCCACAAGTTATGGGTCTTAATGCAGGAATCACTGAATGAAATGCTCTGAGCTGTGATTTGGAGGAGGTGGGACCTTCTGGCTTTAAGCTATGAAATTGACACTGACCAGACCCAGTGAGATTGAACACATGGGAGAATCCCTGGGCCTCTCAGCTGAACGACTCCATTAAAGCACAAGTTACTCAGCTTTCTCACTGCCCAAGCACAGCGAAGAGCATGAATGCTAAGGAGTTAGATTTTAAAAGTTTCTTCAGTTTTAGTTGCAGCCCTTGGGAACATTCATAACCTGACAGACCGTATCATTGGACTTATCTAAGGTACAGTGCTATAAAATGGAATGCTCCTAGGTGAGACAGCTACGTCCTTAACACCCATTCCCAAATGAAGCAAGAAGTTATTTCACAGTAAGCATGTCAACAGCTGTCAGTTTCACCGTGAGGTGTCTCAGAAAGACAAGGTAACTTACATCATGTCGCCAGAACAGTGCAGTTGGTCATCTGACTTCATTGTAGAGGCTGATCTAATGTAATGCCCTGTGTTTGGTAGATCTCTTTCAGAATCAAGAGAACGGTATCTTCGGACTCCCTGGAAGAGAAGAGTGTTAGAACTACACTGACACCCACAGGGTAATTAACATTCTTACAGAGAGCACACGGCAACCCCTTCATTGCTGAGGCATGGGCTACTATAGGCAAGAATCATACATAACCTGTTTGCCTTTTAAGTGACTGGAATCTACTTGCTTTCACCATGCCAGCTTTAAAGATGCACATTACAAGAGTATAAAGGGGCCAGGGACCAGAGGGAGAGTTTGAAAAGAGTAGGCTAAGGAGATGCTCACCAGTAGCAGAGATGGCCTTGTAGTGCAAATAAATATTCATTAAAACTCTCGATAGGCTTCTCTTGCAGCACGTAGTCAATCCGGTGCCCTCTATTTAGCATTCCCACATTAATAGGAGAGGCGTCTTCCTTCCCTGAGGCAGCAGGCTCTTCGGGTTTCACATCTGAATTGACTTAACCAAAATAACATGATTCAGCAACTGCACAGCCTCTGGACTCTTAGCAGCAAGAGCATGCCAAGCCTGTCCAATGCTAGCAGCAGGAATGGAACTCCCACAACTCCAGGGCCTGCGTTCTACCTTAAGAATGGGGGAAAAGGGGCTTGGGTTTAAGGCAGCTGCTGTGAGAAGCAAACACACAGTGGCACATGCTTGAGTTAGCGTAGACTGCACTTGGTCTCCCTCCCTGGTAATATAACCAACGCAGCAGGTTACAGAATGACATTACAGGGAGGAGATTGTTGGCATTAAGATTCACACACTGGGATTCTGCGCCCCAAGCACAAGGCCTGCCTCTCCCACCCAGGCAGCAGCAGAAGGGAGTGCAAGCTCCTTGGGTAAAGGTCATCTATCATCAGGCACAGTGGGGTTGGTAGGCAGTGAGAATGGGAAGACCACGGCAATAAGGAGAACCCAGGAGTAGGTGTCCAGGTTGCTCTGGGACAATTCATTGGCATCCTCGTTTCCTTCCCACACCAGGAGAACTAGCAGTGCTGAGCTGTGGCTTGGTCCTGAAACCAATTCTTCCCTTCTCATTTTTTTTCACCTGTCTGTTTCTCCAAACTAGTTTCAGCTTCGTTTTCAGTGGCTGCTGCCTCCACGGCCAGCAGTGGGGATCTGGTGAAAGACTGCCAGGCTATCCTCAGTGACCCCAGCAGGTTGTTCTTGAGATCCATACCCATGCGGGTCAGGCCCTCTTTCAGTTCTGAAAAACACAGGGGCCTGAGGTGAGGCATTTGAGCAGTAACATGCATTGCATAAAGCAACAGTGTTACAGACCTGCACCGAGCCATGACGAAGGCCTGCTGTGTGCTTTACCTAAATGCATTCTCTTCCTGCCCTTGTGATGAGGGAGCAGCATGGGCTCGAACTCCAGGTCTGGAATGATCATGGGCTCAATCCTGTATGCCACCGGGTCAAACTGCACAGAAGGAGAACAGCAGCACTGACTTCAGCTCTACACCCACCTAATCCCTGCCCCGTGTGGGAAACCAGGCGCCCCCAACATGAGACCAAAATGGAAGCTACATGATTAAAGCAGATAGTTCTAATGCAGACTCGAGGCGCTCTCGTTTCCTAGCCCCTAAGCATTGTACTGACAGCAAAATCATTGCTAGTTGCTATTCCACAGTACAGGACAGCAAAAGGGCCAGGGCCATGATGTGAGCGCTGCTCAGAGTGCGTAGGTTTAAGAGCCTGCTAGCTACAGCAGATCTAGCTTACAAGCATTATGTCGATTGATCATACATACAGGATGGAAGATATTGAAGAAGCCTTTGCAGGTAGGAAGGCTGTAAGTTGGATCGATCCTTTTCACACCTCGTACAGTGAGAAACATTCCAATGGGAGACCCAAAAGCAAAGAAGATGTCAGGTTTGTAGATTAGCTGAGGGTAATTTGCTGAGACCTAACAGAGTTAAGACACAACAGAAGTGTTTAGACTCCATGCTGATGTCCCTGCCACCGTCAGACAATACCAGAGATGGCCATGTGGGAAGTTTCCCCAGAGGATATTGTTTGTATCGAAGTAGAACCTAGGGGTTCCACCAGAGATTGGAGCCCCACTGTGCTATCCCCACCCTGAAGAGTCTGGGCACCAAGAGGGGCAGGGACTTGCCCAAGGTCACACAACAGGCCCACGGCAGAGCCAGGCTCTCCTGGTCACTACACCGAAGGCACATATCCTGGCCAATGTGTTCTTCCATCCTGTCTGAGCAAAAGGGTTAAAGCGGTCACACGAGACCAGCTCAGGAGTCTCGGCTGCATCTTTAGGGCAAACGCATACAGAGAGGGGTGAATGTGGCAGGATTCTAAACCAGGGCCAGAAAAGATCTGCACCTCAGGAGGAGCCTGCTCCAGGCAGAGGGTCAGGGTGAGGCCTAGGAGCCACTTAAACAGGACTTCAGAGACACCTGGTAATGGCACCCTGCATGGGGTGCACCTCAGCCTGGCTCCAGCATTGAGCTACTTACAAGAGTCTCCAACTGAGAGTCTACAGGCAGCTGAGGCCAATTCATTACCTGCAAGGCTGGGGGAGAGAAGGGGACAGTGGGCTGGGACCTGGCGACCACCATGACGGTAGCTCTGCCCTCAGAGACTGTCAGAAGCATGGTGAAGTGACCCTCAATTAGCAGCCATCCCCCCCAGAGCTCTGTTGGCATTAAGTAAGTCCCCATTAGTCTGAGTTCTGCATATTACACATTCACTGGCTCTACCAGGCCACATCAACAAACGTGAGTTGTTACCTGTCCTAGCCCGACATCCAAATATTGACACTTCCCCCCACCATTCGTGCTGCTGCTCCGGGCGCCCAGATGCGGGGATGACCCTGACTCAGGTTTGGGAGCATCTTCGCTCTCGTCGTCATTCCCAGCAGGGACATGGGCCTGCTGCTGAGCATCCTGTACCAACAAGAATGGGAGAGACTGCAAGGGTTGTCCCCTGTGAGATTCCACACAGCAGCAAACTCATGCGGGGCCATGGCCATGGGGGAGCCAAGGAGACATCACCTGGGAACAAGCCTGAGCTAGTGCACTGACTGGCTCCCCAGTGCGGACATGCTGAGGTCATTGAGCATTTATTGGGAATGGCTCTGTTCATACAGCACAAGAGGGTGGGAGGCTCTGGTGTTCTGGACATGTCCACTCCGCCGAGCTGCAAAGCTTTGAACAGCTGCCACCCTGGCAGAAACACCCTCCAGAGAGAGACCAGCATGGCTCCAGCTGCAGGAGCTACCGCAGACCACTCCATACCTAAACCCCAAGTAATAGCCCCCCTTTCCCAGAGTTCCCACAGCAACAATTTTTAAGAGCCCAGATCTACAGCTTTGGGCTCTCACAGTGGCCAAAACCAGCTGTGTAGACCTTTGGGTTTGGGCTGGAGCTCAGGCTCTGAAACCTAGGGAAGAGGGTGCATTTCAGAGCCCAAGCGTCTACACAGCTATTTTCTGCACTGTTGTGCAAGCCCCACAAGACTCAGTTTTTAGACCTGGGCTCTCAGATTGGCTGCCGCAGGTTTCTGCTTGCCACGCAGATGCACCCCAGAGGCCACAGTTCAACTGACGCTGCAATGGTGTCTAGAAAATGCTAGCGTTCTCTTAGGTATGACCCCAAAATGACCAGAGCAACAATGCGTGCAGCTGCATCCACCATGCCTTGTGCCAGTGCAACATACATAAGAATCTGCGCTGGCAACAATGGTTCAGACAACTGCTTCCCACTGACTCCAAACAAGCCGCTACTTGGGACTGGACCATCCCCCCTAGAAAAAAAAACAAAAAAAAAAACATACCTGTGTTTCGTCTTTGGTTCTTACATAATGAAGGATCTTCGTTCTTGGTCCCAAGGGAATTCCCATGTCTTTAAGATCCTTCTCCGTACACAGAGCCTGGACAGTAAGTTACAACCCATTACTACTACAGTACAGGAAACTGTGCACTCAAAGGATATTCCATTCTCAGCATTACAGAAGCCAGGGATCCTGGGAGTGAATTGCTCGGATTTCAGTGTGCCCCTCTGGAAGGGAGGGCGCACAGATTGCATGGGAATCACTCTGCTCTGGAGAGAGGCAGCAATCTCTGAACTTAGCCTCAAGTGCAGAAATGCTTCCCACACACACGCGTCTCATTTTCAGTCTCCAGTGTACAGTTCAGCACGCTGCCAGCCTATCCGCCACACACAAGAAACCAGGGCTGCTGCTAGCACGGGCAGAATCAAGAGCCTGCAGAGGTATTAGTCACTCAGCCTTACCATCAAAAACCAGGGTACATTAGGCCACGTGGACTTTACTCTAACCAGAGGGCATGACATATGCAAGAAATACCTGTGTGAACGTGCCCCAATACCAGGGTGATGGGCACAGAGAAGAAAAATGTGAACTCTAATAGATCTGCAGGCAAGCAGTGAAACATACAAGAACAGTAGCCACTCTGCTGGGAGAGCTGTTTTACCAGTGCTTGCGTGTCCATTCTCTCCTTCTCAAAGAAACTGTAGTACTCCGACAGCTCAAGCTTCTTCAGGATTTCTTTCACTCCCCCAATGTCTCCCTGTTCATAGGCACCCATCTGGGATCCCTGCAAGTACAGCCACATGGGTCATATTTACAGAGCTGGTCTCCTTCTTCCTTTATGTTCTGGCTACGGTATTGGTAGTAGGTGTGGGATTGTTTTGTTCTGTTTTGTTTAGATCGACACCTGGCAGGATAGCGTTGAGAATTCAAAGCTATTCTGCTACAGAAGCAGGAGACAATAGCAGTGTTCTGCATTGCAGCAGTTATGGAAATGCTGGAGTGTGGATGTAGCCTACAGATTCCATCCTGAATCAGTGAGATGCTTAACACGCACAAGCCGTGGGGAATTTACCTCTTTATTGCCGTCTTGATCCTCAGAGGAATCTTTCTGATTTGTTAGGAGATCAAACAATATCAGCGACCCTAAAAAAAATAGCCACATACACAGTCTCTGAGCAGAACGTCAGATCTTATGCTAGAATAAATATACTTACATGCCCATATCCCTCTGTTTGGTAAAGGGGGGGGCGGCTTCCCTCCTCCTCTCTCACACTCAAGTGTCCCATGGTATGGAAATGGGATTTCAGCACTAAACTGCAGTCCAAGGTTCTGTGCCATGTGCATACAGACATTCTATAGATTCTACAGTATTACACACAATACTGGGATACCCAAGACTAAACCCTTTACCTAAGCTATGGCCCGCGATGGAAACACCCCCTTTAAAGTCAGGGTTCCTCTGCAGGAAGAGCCGATACAGACGGTTCATTTCTGAAGCAACAGTATCCACTATGGTCTGGCAGTAGGTGGAGCTGTTGTAGAAGAAAACATCCAGTATGGTGTCGTTTATGAAGTGCCGCAGGCGGTTGATGCTCGGCAAGGTAATTCGCTCCAAATCGCTAAACATGGAACAAGGGATTGTTATAAGGGACAGAGATTTCACCCACGGCTTCGGTAGCTATTTCCTAGTAGGTTTCCAGGGTGAAATCCTGGCTCTCGAAGTCCATGGCAGTTATGCCATTGAGGATTTCACCTGAATTCTTAATTCATGTTAACAGAACATAGTAACAGAAAGGAGCTTCAAAACCACCTTTCCTCAGAAACAGAACAGGGTCCTTTGAAGTGTGGATGCAAAGAGCCAACCTTCCCTGCTCCAGGAGCATTTAAAATCGCTCCCCACTTGTGCAGCTGACATACTGTTCCCCTGTGCAGTGGGATGCCTCATTGACTCCCAGTGGGGGCTGGATACCCAAAGCTCCTGCTCTGTGTTCTTACAGCAACTGGAAACACCAGTCTGCACTTCTGGCTTTACATGCCAATAGACTACTTATGGTGCAATTTAAACTAGACATCAATCTGGCTTCATGAGAAAACTGGACAGCAGGGCTCAGATCCTCATATTAGGTGCTACAAACAGTTCCGGGTTCCCTTTTTTATGTTCACCTGTGTGTTTCCTGATGTAAAGTAGCAGCAGCAGAGACTGCGCTGAAAGCTCTTCTTTCATCTCTCACTCACTGCAGCAAAGGCAAGGCACTTTACAAAAGAGCAAGACACTCCTGGATTTCACTCACTCAGTCACGACAGTAGATTTACCTCTAAGGTGCTAGAATTTACTTACACGTCCACCCCCGTAGAATGCAAAGGGCTGTGCCAGTTCACAGGCAAGAACTCTACCCGGCCAATTTGTTGCTGCTCCTGGGCTTTCTTGAAGTGTGTTTGCAGCATGCTCAAGGAAACGTTACGGAAGTCGTTCACTGGAAAGAGAATATGAGCTCTGTATCAAGGCCTAGAAAAAACAAAGAGTTTGCTAGGAAAAGCCTATTGCGTTTACTATGCTGAACAAGCTGAGTTGAAGGGACACTGTCAGCTTAAGACAAAACAGCCCACCTCAGTCTGAAGTTTTTTAACCTACTGTTATTACAAGTAACACCGCAGATCACTAATTGAGGGATCAGACAAAAACACTCTACTTCTCAGCTGAAGCATAAACTGGATGTTGCCGTTTGCTCTGTAGCAGGTCTGTTTCCCCTGATTGCTGGAGCTTTCACACAGCAACCAAGGAGAGAGAAACTTTTTAAAGAGCTATGAAACCTACTGTAAAAGTCTCACATATCGGTATGGAGACTTGGGGGCAGGGGCTGGGTTTTAAATTACTTCTCACTCATTTTAGTTCACTGACTGATTTCAAGTTGACAGTAACCTTTTTAAAAGTAGCTCCATTAGATGCATACTGTAAGACAGACTGCAGTATCAAAAGGCTTGACTGCATGGAAAAAAAAAAAAAACGGGACACTTTGCCAGAATTAAAGACATTTGACCCCACAAATTGTTGAAGTATGCAACAGCTTTGGTTTTATTATAGAAATTTACCTCATCTTAACTTTCCTGTTTATGGTACACACAGCTTATCAACAGATCTCCTCTCCAAGATTGAGGCAGTTACAATGACAATATAAGCACTCTCTGAAATTGTCTCATTTCTAAAGACCCTTGGATGGGACATTAACTTGTGTTAGACTTTACTGGACAAGATTACCGCCTACAATAGACTGAGTAGAGGACAGATTTATCCAGTTACTTGAAGAATCTGTATCTGATTTGGGAAGCTCACTATTTGTAGGATTAGGACACAGTGATCATTCTGATAAAAATGATTGTCCAAATCTGTCCCACTCTATCCAGATAACCAGCTTTCATTGCTCGTATATTCAAACTACGCATCTTCATTGCAGTCAGCAAGTTCTGTCTTACCGTTTGCCAAGATTAGTGTCAAATTCTTTCCATGTGTGATGACAGCACCTCATGTGTTTTCCCATCAGACCTGTGTTTATTTGCACTCTCTGAGGGGTGATGCATGTGAAACGGTATCATCTCCTGTGCACACCTACCACATTGGACGATGGACCGGAACCGGATATCACATGCTGGCCCAATTCCATGAACTACAAAAACCAAGTGATCTATTTGCAGAGGCTCCCCTAAGAGGAGGAAAGAGAGAACCACTTATTACAGCAGCTAATTGTTTACCTGACGCAATATTCCTTTGAGATCTCAACCTCTGAGGCAGATGTGTGAAACCCTCAAGGGGTCAGGTAAGGGATAATGCTAAGACAGTTCCAGGTCCGAGAATATTATAAAGTTTGGTCCCTGGTTTGTGTGTCAAGAGCAATAGTAGTGCTCAGTATAGTACTTCATATTTAAAGTACTACCTACACATCAGATAATTTCCACACACCCTCACCAACATACATGCACATGGTGGGTGGTAAGTGGCATTATCCCCATTTTATAGCTGAGTGAAATTGAGGAAGGTGAAGCGATTTGGGCACATGACGAGGATTAGAACTCCCAATGCTGCACTGGTTCCTCCACACCAGACTGCCTTGTGAAACGTCACTGAGAAGCTATGCAGGTGAGGTGAAGCTTCTGCAGTCAAACCCAAAGCCTAGACATTCTCCCCTCCCAGTCGCCACAACCATTTCAGTGCGACAGGTTGGGTGTCAAGGATGATGTACTTCTGAGTTATAAAAAAAAAAATCACCCTCAGCTTCTTAGAGACGTATTCATGTGGCTGTGCAGAGGTAGAACTTTACACCTAAGTACAATAACGTGTTGTTGTAGCCCTTGCCAATTAGATTAAGAGGCTCTCTCAATATCATCAAGGTAGGAAGACATGTTCCCATCACTCAACCGTACTCCATGTTGCCCCACTGAGCCACCAATGAGGTATGTCTTTAATTAAAGATTTATGGCTCAGCAGCTTGGAGGAGCAGGCCTTTCTGCAGAGGCCTCTCTGACTAAAGCAGGCATCAGGCAATGTTTGATTTTCATTCTCTTCTCTCCCACGTCATTTAGTTTACATAAGATCTTTTTAGAAGAGCCTGTAGGTGGATAATGAAGGTTTTTGACAGACAGAAGCAAAAGCTAGTGCTGACAAGTGGTTAGGTTGGTGGCAAAGCTCATTTGCTATTCAAAAGCATCAACTTTGGCCCACAGTTACGATTTACATTCTGTAAAGTGTACACGAGAGAGAGCATGGATGTCTGTATGATATATACATACGCACATACCAAGACGTGGGTTTGGTTATGTTTTTAATAACAAAAGTACACCAGCCACGATTTTCAGAAGTGACTAGTGATTTGAAGGGCTCAATTGACTATGCCTGATTTTCAGAGGGCAGGTGCTGAGCACTTCCTCTTCCGCCTTTCCTGTTTGTTCAGGCTGTGAGTGCTTTGGGGCAGGGACTGTCTCTAGGTCTGTGACGCGCCCAGCACAGTGGGGCCCTGGTCTCAGTTGCAGGCTGTAGAAAAAGACGGTTACTCACCGTTGTAACTGTTGTTCTTCGAGATGTGTTGCTCATATCCATTCCAGTTAGGTGTGCGCGCGCCGCGTGCACGATCGTCGGAAGATTTTTACCCTAGCAACCCCCGGTGGGTCGGCTGTGGAGCCCCCTGGAGTGGCGCCTTCATGGCGCTGGATATATACCCCAGCCGACCCAGCGCCCCCTCAGTTCCTTCTTGCCGGCTACTCCGACAGTGGGGAAGGGGGGCGGGTTTGGAATGGATATGAGCAACACATCTCGAAGAACAACAGTTACAACGGTGAGGAACCGTCTTTTCTTCTTCGAGTGCTTGCTCATATCCATTCCAGTTAGGTGACTCCCAAGCCCCACCTAGGAGGCGGGGTCGGAGTGCGACATTGCTGTGTGCAAAACCGCTGACCCGAAAGCAGCATCGTCTCTGGATTGTTGCACCAGCGCATAGTGAGTAGCGAAAGTGTGGACCGAAGACCACACTGCAGCTCTACAAATGTCCTGAATCAGAACTTGAGCCAGGAAGGCAGTCGAGGAGGCCTGGGCCCTCGTGGAGTGAGCAGTGAGGCGTGGCGTTGGTACACCGGCCAGGTCGTAGCAAGCACGAATGCAGGACGTGATCCAGGAGGACAGGCACTGTGAAGAGACCGGTGAGCCCTTCATCCGGTCGGCCACCGCAACGAAGAGTTGCGTCGTCTTCCTAAATGGCTTTGTATGGTCAATATAGAAAGCCAGGGCCCTGCGAACGTCCAAAGAATGTAAACGCTGGTCTTGACGAGTAGCGTGCGGTTTCGGATGGAAGACCGGGAGAAATATATCCTGGTTCACGTGGAAAGGCGACACCACCTTTGGAAGAAAGGCAGGATGGGGGCGAAGCTGCACCTTGTCCTTATGGAACACCGTGTATGGGGGCTCGGATGTCAGCGCCCTGAGTTCCGAGACGCGCCGTGCTGAGGTGATGGCTACTAGGAAGGCTGTCTTCCAAGATAAGTACAGGAGCGAGCAGGTAGCCAATGGTTCAAACGGAGGCCCTGTGAGCCTGGAGAGGACGAGGTTGAGGTCCCACGTTGGAACCGGCTGTCGTTGCTGTGGGTACAGCCGGTCTAAGCCCTTGAGGAATCTAACGACCATCGGGTTAGAGAAGACCGAGGACGTGAGTTCTCCTGGGTGGAAAGCGGAAATAGCGGCGAGGTGAACCTTGATTGAGGATGTCGCCAAGCCTTGCTGTCTTAGGGACAGGAGGTATTCCAGTATCAAGGGGATAGGAGCCTGCGAGGGAGACGTAGCTCGTTGCTCACACCAACAGGAGAACCGCTTCCACTTGGCTAGATAAGTGGTCCGCGTCGATGGTTTCCTACTTCCTAGCAGAACCTGCTGGACGGCCTGCGAGCACTGCCGCTCTATCCGACTCAACCATGGAGCATCCACGCCGTGAGGTGGAGTGACTGCAGGTCGGGGTGACACAACCGGCTGTGGTCCTGGGAGATGAGGTCCCGACTCAAGGGGAGCGTGATCGGCGTTCGTACTGAAAGCTCCAGCAGCGTGGTGTACCAGTGCTGCCTCGGCCAAGCGGGAGCGATTAGAATTACTCGTGCATGATCCCTGCGGATCTTGAGCAGCACCCTGTGGACCAGTGGAAATGGAGGGAAGGCGTAGAACAGGTGATCCTTCCATGTTAGAAGGAAGGCGTCTGACCGAGAGCCCGGGGCTCGCCCGTGTAGGGAGCAGAATGCCTGGCACTTCCTGTTGGCCCGAGATGCGAAGAGGTCGACCTGGGGAAACCCCCACCTCTGGAAGACGGAATAGATAACGTCCGGGCGAATTGACCACTCGTGCGTCTGGAAGGACCTGCTGAGACGGTCCGCCAGCGTATTCTGGACTCCAGGAAGGAAGGATGCCGTGAGATGCATCGAGTGGTCGATGCAAAAGTCCCATAGGCGGACGGCCTCTTGGCATAGGAGCGATGAGTGGGCTCCGCCTTGCTTGTTGATGTAAAACATGGCCGTGGTGTTGTCGGTGAGAACCAACACGCAACGGCCCTGTAGAAAGTTGAGGAACGCCTGGCAGGCTAGGCGCACCGCCATGAGCTCTCGGACGTTGATATGCAGGGCCAGCTGGGACGCGGACCACAGGCCCTGGGTATGGTGCTCCCCGAGGTGAGCGCCCCATCCTAGAGATGAAGCGTCCGTGACTAGGTGGAGGGAGGGTTGTGGGGCGTGAAAGGGCACTCCTGCACAGACCGCCGTACGATCCGTCCACCAGGTGAGGGAGGCCAAGACCGAGGCCGGAACCGTGACCACCATGTTCAGGTCGTCCCGAGGAGGACGGTAGACCGATGACACCCAAGCCTGTAGTGGGCGAAGACGTAGCCTGGCGTGCCTGGTTACGTAGGTGCACGAGGCCATGTGGCCCAAGAGGGCAAGGCATGTTCTTATGGTGGTGATTGGGAAAGCCCTGAGTCCTTGAATGGCGCTTGAGATGGTATGAAAGCGGCTGTCTGGCAAGATGGCTCGGGCACGTGTGGAGTCCAGGACTGCTCCAATAAACTCTATTCTCTGAGTTGGTACCAGAGTGGACTTCCCTCTGTTGAGTAGAATGCCCAGCTCGTGGAACGTGCGTGTCACCATGTGGACATGAGCCTGCACTTGGTCCCTGGTGCGGCCGCGTACCAGCCAGTCGTCCAAGTACGGGAACAGCTGTATCCCTTGTTGACGAAGGAAGGCCGCGACGACCGCCAGACACTTTGTGAACACTCTGGGAGCCGAGGACAAGCCGAAGGGAAGGACTGCAAATTGGTAGTGCACCCTGTTTACTACAAATCGCAGGAAGCGCCTGTGGGGCGGATAAATTGCTATGTGGAAATAAGCGTCCTTCATGTCGAGGGCGGCGAACCAGTCTCCAGGATCCAGTGAAGGGATGATGGTCCCCAATGACACCATGCGGAACTTCAACTTTACTATGAATTTGTTGAGTCCGCGCAAGTCTAAGATGGGCCGTAGACCCCCTTTTGACTTGGGTATCAGGAAGTAGCGGGAATAAAACCCCCTGCCCCTTAGCTCCGATGGAACCTCCTCTATGGCCCCCATAGCGAGGAGCCCAAAAACCTCCTGTGTAAGGAGTTGCTCGTGAGAAGGGTCCCTGAAGAGGGACGGGGAGGGGGAGTGGGAGGAGGGGGGCGAGGAAAACTGGAGGGCGTATCCCCTCTCCACCGTGCGAAGGACCCAACGGTCCGAGGTTATACGGGACCAAGCACGGTGGAAGCGGGAGAGGCGATCCCGGAAGGGGGGAATTGGATCCTGGGTACCGGTCGTGGTGCCGTCCTCGACCGCACCTTCAAAAGTTTTGCCTAGGCCCTGAAGGTGGCCTAGGCTGACCCTGGTTTTGACCAGGTTGAGGGCCGGTCGACCTCCGTCTGCCACCTCGACCCCGCCTCCTGGCAAAGTCCTGTCTTGGACGAGGCGGGGGAGGATAGAACCGCTGAGGCTGCGGCCTGAAGGGTCTGCGCTGAGGCCCTGGGACATGCATCCCCAGGGAGCGCATCATTGTCCTGGAGTCCTTCAGATTTTGGAGCCTCGCGTCCGTTTTATCCGAGAAGAGGCCCTGGCCCTCAAATGGCAGATCTTGCAGGGTCTGTTGCAGCTCTGGTGGCAAGCCAGATACCTGGAGCCAGGAGAGTCGCCGCATGGCTATCCCCGAAGCCAGGGTTCTAGCGGCCGAGTCCGCAATATCGAGGGAGGCTTGCAAGGAGGTACGTGCCGCCCGCATACCCTCCTCTACCAAAGCCCCAAACTCCTCCCTCGATTCCTGGGGAACCAGCTCCCTGAATTTCCCCATTGAGGACCATGAGTTATAGGAGTAGCGGCTCAGGAGTGCCTGTTGATTGGCCGCTCGTAGCTGGAGCCCCCCCGCAGAGTAGACCTTGCGTCCGAACAAGTCGAAGCGCTTAGCGTCCTTCGACTTGGGCGCAGCGGCCTGCTGGCCATGGCACTCCCGTGCATTCACTGATGATACCACCAGTGAGCACGGCTCGGGGTGGGTATACAGGTATTCATAGTCTTTGGAGGGAACAAAGTACTTCCGCTCCACCCCTCTGGCCGTGGGTGGAATAGAGGCCGGGGTCTGCCAGATGGTGGTGGCATTGGTCTGTATAGTGGGGATCAGTGGTAACGCCACCCGAGAGGGGGTGTCCGCTGAAAGAATGTTCACAATAGGGTCATGAACCTCCACAATCTCCTCCACTTGGAGGTCCATATTGCGTGCCACCCGGCGCAACAGGTCCTGGTGCGCTCGAAGGTCAATAGGAGGCGGACCCATGGCGGATGTACCCGCTACAGCCTCATCGGGGGAGGAGGAGGAGGATCCCCCCGGTGGCAAGGGGTCCAAGGACGGGTCCTGCTCCAGGTGCTCCTGGAGGTGGACATCAGCAGCCCCTGGGGCCAGGGTCTCCGCCGGTGTGGGCACCGGTGCCTCCATGCCACCTGGCGGAGGGCGGGAGATGGTGGCCTCCGGGACCCTGGGCTCGGAGCATGCCGAGCGGGACGCAGATGGAGGTGCGCCTTGCGCCTGGTGGTAGGCCCACGGTGTCCAGAAGGACCAATGCGCAGGACCCTGCGTCGGGTCCTCTGCCGCCTCCTGCAGATGGGTGGCCTCCGCGTCCCTGGACTGCAGCTGGCGCGGAGCAACCGGTGCCGGAAGGTGTGACGGCCCCGGCTCCGTGAAGGCAATGAGGTCCCGTGCCGTTGCGAAAGTCTCCGGGGTGGACGGGAGACAAGGTTCCACCACCAGCCTAGGTGGTGAAACAGTCCGCACCGGACTCGACGGCCTCGGTGCCGGAGTCGACGGTGGGGCCGCCTGTTTTTGGCGGTCCAACGGCGGACGCGGCTCTACCCCCAGCACCGGGGGAGCCGGCGTCTTCAGCACGGCCGTGTCCTGGGCCTTGCGGGTCTTCTTACCCGGAGAGAGCGATCGGCGCCGAGACCCCTGAGGCGGGCGCGGTGCCGACGTGGTTTATCCGCCGCACCGGTCGGGCCCGCCGGGGCGCTGCGCACCGAAGCACTCGGTGCCGGGACAGAGCGCGCCGAGGGAGGATCCGGACTCAGAGCCGCCTCCATCAGGAGCTGTCGGAGTCTAAAGTCTCGCTCCTTTCTTGTCCTCGGCTTGAAGGCCTTGCAGATAGGGCACTTATCTGCGGGATGGGCCTCCCCAAGGCACTTCAAGCAGGAACTATGCGGGTCGCTTGTTGGCATATGCTTCCCGCAGGACGCGCACGGCTTAAAGCCAGGAGCCTTGGGCCCGGCTGTGCGCCGGGGGGGAAAAGGGGGAAAGACAACCCCCTAAACCCCCGATAACAAATTTACAACTATATATATTATACAACTAACTAACTAAGAATTTCAATAACTATATAAACAACTAACTATACTAATAACAACGAGAAGCTAGGGATAGTGAAGAGCAGCTATGCCGCGGTTCACTGTTCCAACGACCGTCAGGGGCGGTAAGAAGGAACTGAGGGGGCGCTGGGTCGGCTGGGGTATATATCTAGCGCCATGAAGGCGCCACTCCAAGGGGCTCCACAGCCGACCCACCGGGGGTTGCTAGGGTAAAAATCTTCCGACGATCGTGCACGCGGCGCGCGCACACCTAACTGGAATGGATATGAGCAACACATCTCGAAGAAGAACTACTGTAATATTTGAATTACACATAAGGAAATTTGTCAGCAAGATGAGATGACCCATCCATAAGCCCATATTTAAGTCTCAAGCAAAAAAAATGTGTTTTAAATTCTCTGAAGCCATATCACAACAAGCAAGGCAGATAGAGTCTGAGAAAACGAGCTGGGAAACGTTTTCCTCAACTTCGATGGATGTGAAGAACATGAACTTACCGCAGGGGATGTCAGCGGAGATGTTCTCCACTCCTCTCTTAACAGTTCTTGGTCGACCTTGTTCTGTAGGGGTTGAGCCCCAGTCATCAGAGGTTGTCACTGGATGGTAGTGCACCATCAGCTTAAAAACAGGAAGAGAAGCGTGTTAGAACTCTGTGGTACATGCAACACATTTAAGCATCTCCTATTAAAGGGGGATAAGCAACTCATCGTACATCTGTCAGGAATTGATGGAGCACACCTATACCATTGCAAGGAGCAAAGAGCAAACCTGTCTAGACACTACACTAGTGAGGACACAGATGGACACTGACACTGGATTAGATGGAGTTCACTGTACTCTTTAAAATGTACTTGTATGTTCTGCTCCTCTGCAATCTCAGCACTTGAGCTACTTTATACACAGTTCAATGCATAATTCTGCACTGCATTTTCCTTGTTACAATAAACAACATCTGGGAAAGACAGGTGTACCTATTCCACACCCCACCTGTCTCTGGGTGCCAGTATTCCACTGTGCATCAGTTAGAAAACAGAATGGAATGATGTCTTCAGCCACTGAGCCAATTTAACTGTTTGGTTCGCAGCATGATTTTATACCTGAGGAAAGATGGGTCAGTGATTAGGGCGCTGGCCTGGGAAGTGAGAAACCCACCTTAAATTCCCTGCTTCACCACAGACTGGCTTGTATGACCATGGGCAAGTCACTCAGATACAATGCTAATGGCGGAACAGAAGTACCTAAGCTAGATTCTGATATAGTTCAAGTGGCACAACCCTCTGGCATGGCTGCAGTGATATCAGTATAAAGGTGCCTTACACCACAATACCTTATTCTCATAAATGTAGCTCTATAAGGACCTTTATACAGGTAGAACTGCATCCACACTACAAGAGCGTATCACTAAGTATATTGGTTTCTAAAAACTGAGTGTAGACCAGCACTGAAAGCAGAACTAAAGGGGAAAACACAAGTCTGTCTGTGCTACAAACAGTAAACCATCAGGTTTTACCTTTGGGTTATGCAATATAATGATTTCTCTAGTAGGGGACTCAAGTTTCTTTTTCCACTCGTCCAGAGTTATGGCAATCATGTAAGTTTCCTGGGGAGAAGAGAAATCTCTGCAAGTCAAACAAACATTTCCACAGGAACTCCACCAGTTGGAGGTTTGCCCCCTCCCCTCTTATTGTAGGGTAGCTCTTAAAAATATTGTTGATCAAAGAGAGGTAAATCAGACACGAGTCTAGATCGGTGACAGTCTTATCCCTGGGTTAAATGTTGTCTTACAAAGTGTTGGTTGGGGGCACCCTTTAGGCTACCAGTTTTAATAGAGGCAATATCTTCCACTTTAGACTCTACTAATATCAGATTAAAGTTTTATGGAAAATCATTTTCCATAGGAAGAGTCGCTGGCCATTAATACTAAATGTTCATAGGAAACCACAAATATGCCTGGCACTTCAGTTCACATAGCAGCTCTCTTTCTGTAATCTACTACTATGGACCTGATCCTGCAAGTTCACACACATGAGTAATTTTAGTCACATAGATAGTTCCATTGGCTTCAGGGGCACTATTTATTTGCACTAGTGAAGTTACTCTCAAGTGAGAGCATTTGTGGGATCAGGGTCTAGATTAGAGAAACATGGACATTACAGCAGACAAGGACAGCGAAAAATAAGCGTGTCTGCAGCTTGAAAGAATCGACTACTGCCTATGAAAATAAGGTCAGGCACAAGAAGAGCTGCGGGTAGCACTGAAGCAGAGATTGGCTGTGGGAAGCAAGCCACAAGAAGTGGGCTTTAAGGAGGGACTTTATGCTTTATGAAGAGGGAGACAGGAGGGCCCAGGCATGGAAGCAGCATACAAAGAGGTAGGAGGAAAGAGGGAGTGAGTAGCAAGGCAAGGAGATCTGGCAAAATGTAGGTCGCAAGGAGTGAAGCAGAGGCCAGGGCTGGGACTGCAAGCGGCGTGCTGAAAATGAGGGCAGGCAGTTTAATTGTCTAGCAAGAGCCAGGAAGGAGGCAGAGCTGGGATGAGAGGATGGGGAGATTGCATTAGCGGCAGCATGTTGGAGAGAGACAATGGGCGAGGCTGCAGAGAAGAGAGGTGCAGTATTTCCAGTGGTGCTAATCAAACATGAAGTGTCACCCAAACGTCTCCCTCGAGTTCACGTCCTTGGACACAACTCAGTGCCAAGACCCCTCATGGAATTCGGGACGTTACACAAGCAGAAGCCAGCAGGGCTCAAGAGCAGCCTGGAAGGGCTGAGCGTTATTAGGCGAGATATCAGTACCTCCAACTCTTCGCTGAAGCTCTCCGAGTAGGGAATATACTTGTTGTCCTTGTCTCCCTTGTAAAACCAGGTGCAGCGTCTCACTTCAGACACCTCTTCCTCCCAATACATGGCACAGCGCAGCCTCTTCTTCAAATGCACGTCATACCTGCCCCCTTCCGTTGGAACGACCAGCTGTTCATCATCTTTCCCTGTGGAATGCAAGGACTGCCATGAAGTGTAAACAGATCAGAAGGGGACATTACCAAGAGGTTTTAGACTATGCAAATCATGGGGGTATCAGCCGCTTCTGCATGGAGCTTACCAAGAAAATCCATACAATGATCTGTGTAAACAAACACAGTCACCATTTAAAAAGGCCTCCTAGGACAATCATGCCAGAAAGTCAAAGCTTCCACACTGGGGTGGAGACATCAGAAAGGCCCTAGGCTACAAACAATTGCTAGTTTATTATTGTCTGTGTTGCGGTAGCCCCCACTGTGCTAGGTGCTGTACAGACACACAACAAAAGAGAGTCCCCCGCCCCAAAGAGCTTACGAGATCAGTAAGCTAAGGGGTTTACATCGATCCCACTATGACTGAGAGCAGCAAGACCTTAAATGTTTATATTCATTCGTATTTCCCTAGCCCTTTTGAGACCAGATGATCCCAAAGCTCTTAAAACTGTATACAGACAGTACCACTGAGATGCAGCTCCCTTTGGGAAAGGGAATGGCAGCCAATCAGTGCACAGCATGCCCCACAACAGCAGAGAAAGAGTACTGGACAGGGGCCCCAGCCACCCCTCTGCTCTTCAAAGAGATGCTGTGGGATCTTTAATTTCCAGGCAAGACATCAGATTTTCAGTCTCATTCATGTACTTGCATACAGTAAGCCCCCTGGAATTTGAGCTCCCTACACTGGAATGGTCAAGGCCTGAGTCTGAACTCATGGCACCAGGAAATCTTAGCATTTCCAAGTGGAGGCACAGGCCTCTAAGCAATACCCTCCAGCACAGACTGAGAACTTCCAAGAGATTTCACCGCTTACTCAGAGCAAAAATGTCACCTAAATGCCCTGGCTCTACTATCTATAGGGTCTGATCCTATTAGTTGGATTACAGGTACACTGCGTTAGGCAGCACCCGTTACCTGCATGAGCCGCCAAAACATGGCACCTTGAATCAGGATCACCCCCTTCAGACTAACCACTGGAATGGGGGTGGGACTAGAGGACAAAAGACTCACAAAACCTTATTCCTCTCCCCCACCCTTTGCTGCTTCTCTTCTGCAGCTCTGCACTTATGCAGATCTGATTGCAGAAGCAGAGCCTTAGACTGTCTGCTCTTCAGGGCAAGGGGTATCACTTTATATGTATGGACAGCACCTAGCACACTGTGGGCACTATTATAATATAAATAAGTGTCTGAGCCATGCTGGACCTGGGAGCTCCATCCACACTCCGATCTGCATTGCTACTCTTTTCATACTAATAAATCCACAGAACAGTAAAATCTGCAGGAAAGTCTCACAGTGGTAGAATTTAGTCAGCGTTGCTTCCTAACCGATTCCTACTTACCGTATACAAATGCTGTCTCATGCAAATAAAAAAAAAATCTAGAGTACTCAGTGTAAGTGTCAAATTAATGAGGCCTGAACATTAAAGCCTTTTGGATGAAACTTTTTTTTTAAGCAACATGAATAGGCACCCTTCTAGGGAAGAGGTATTTCCACAGAAATGGGGATAAATTTAAAATTCCAGAGAGGGAAGACACTTTCAAATCCCATAGCAAAAACTGCACAAGATGTTTAGAACGCTTCCCTTAGTCGGAGCTTCTAGCCCCAAGACATCATCAGTACAATGCATTTCAAATTCTTAGCCAACTCAGTGCTCTTGCAGATTTCCCCATCTTGCAAAACCCATGATTCACTCTTGTTAATTCACCTCACCTCAGCAGATTTTAAGGTTTGCTCTATTACCACAAGGGTTATTTAAACTAGAGAATTAGAGATGTCGGAGTTGGAACCGTCCCATGAGGTCATCTAGTCTAGTGCAGGGTAGTTCAAGACCGTGTTTGCTACCACTTCATCCACTCTAATCTAGACGTGTGGGGGATTCTGCCAGCTTCCTTCTGACCCTATCCCGCAACCTAATGTACCTTTACCCCTAAGAAGCTCCTGACAAAAAGGCATTTTCAACTTACTTGAGTTGTGGGCCTCCTCTAACTTCTCCGAGTCTTGTCGACTGAAAGGGATCCACCTCTCTCTAGAATCTATTACCTTGCAGTAAAACCAGTGAGGAACAACTGCCTCATACTTATTTGCAGTATCTGCCTCCACTACTTCAAAGGAACTAGATGAATTGGATGATGGAGAAGGTTCTGCCTGTTGCTGTTCCACAGCTGACATTGCACGTCTAAAGGAACAAACAGAGGGAGACAGAATAAACACTGAATTTTTATTTTTAAAATGTCTTCAGTTATTTACTAACACTGGAAGGAGAAATACACATAAGCGTGGCCCTCCCAAGAACTGCATATTTCTGTGACAATAAGGCAGACTGAATGGCAAACTTCTACAAATGAGAGACCGCCAGCTGCACAGATAACTTACTTGTTACAAACTTATTATTGTCGTAATCCAAAATGTATCTGTCAGACAGAGATGACAAGCCCCAGAACAGATAAGTCTGATACAATTTTGGCTCAACCGACTCCACCACGGAAAGTCTGAAAGATGAGGATTCCACAGTGGCTTTGGAATAAAATAGCTGCAGAAACAAGAAGAGAACCTGTTAGAAAATAGCAAATGCAATCAAGAGTCTGATGAAAAACAACCAGGCAGCATACCTAGAACAACGCTCAGGAGTCATGCCTAGACAAAGACATTTTACAATGAGCTGGAGTTAATGCTTTAGGATTTGTCACTACGGTTCAGTTGTGCTTCACACATCCCTGATTTCTGATACTTGTGCTGCTTGAGTTTTCTATTTTAGAAAGATAGTGAAAGAAAAAACTCCACTAAACATTTCGGGATTTGACAGCATGCGAAATCCAAAGGGGAAAACTTGTCTGCTGCTATAGCAAAAGTCTCATATACCTGAAAATCCACCTACCCTTCCCAATTTTATTCTACTTGCACTTCCAAATACAATGAAACACCTATTTTGACTTAACAAAAAGCATGACTACAACAGTGGTAATTGAAGTAGAAATAAATTAGTCAGGAAACTTATGTAACACTGGAGCACAGGAAACATAAGGATATTGATAGTGATAGGAAAGGGGCCCAGAACAAATGTCTGCCTGTACCCCAGAATTAACTGTTCTTATCGGATTGCTCATTTTCTTTACTTCCAAAGTGTATTTCCTTTAACTTTCTATAACCTCTTCCACTTGAGAATCTCAAAGGCATTTACAAACAGTTGGCTTGTTCTTGCAGCATCCTAGAAGGTAATTAAATGCTAGGCACATTTTAAAGATGTGAAAACAGAGAGACAGAGGTTAAATGAGGTGTTCAAAACTACACAGCAAGTCAGTGACAGAGTTGGAGTTAGGATTCTGGTCTCCTGATGGATGTTCTCACGGACCTTAAGGAAAGAAGGGACCATTCATGATCATCTTCTAGTCTGACCTCCTACACATTGCAGGCAACAGAACCTCACCTACCCACTCCTGCAGTAGGCCCATAACCTCTGCCTGAATTACTGAAGTCCTTGAATTGTGATTTAAAGACTTCAAGTTACAGAGAATCCACCATTTACTCTAGTTCAAACCAGCAAGTGACCTCTGCCCCACGCTGCAGAGGAAGGCATAGTCCCTATCCCCCAAATCTCTGCCAATCTGACCCCAGGGGAAAATCCCTCCCTGACCCAACATATGGTGATCAGTTAGACCCTGTACATGTGGGCAAGACCCATCAGCCAAACTCCCCAGGGCCTAGGCAACCACCTCACTCACCCCAACCTCTAACATCAGACCACAACAAGTCCCATATAAATCAGTTTCCCAAATTTCAACAACTCCAACGGTGCCCAGCAGAAAAGAGGGCCCATGTGAAAGGTCCCCGCTTCCTTCCCACACAGGTGTGGGTATGGGGGGGGGAGGAGAGTGTAGAGGGAAACACCACACTCATACAAAGCAAATCTGTACAACAACGGAGATCTGGCACCCAGAGCTGGGCAGGGATGGTGTCCCTAGCCTCTGTTTGCCAGAAGCGGGGAATGGGTAACAGGGCATGGATCACTTGATGATAACTTGTCTGTTCATTACCTCTGGGGCACCTGGCATTGATCACTGTCAGAGGACAGGATACTGGGCTAGAGGAACCTTGGGTCTGGCCGTTCTTATTAAACTCCTCAGGCACCTGGGCAACTACTGCCCCCTTTTTCTCCATCTCTCTCTGCTGATGTTATCCATTTCCACCAGACGTCTCCCTTCCCCCCGGGCCATGCTCCCCCCCCCACCCCTCCTCCAGGGCCCTTTCCCCCCCTCCAGGGCCCTTCCCTCCCATCACTCCCCGGGCCCCGCTCCCCCCCATGGCCCCTCGCCCCCCCTCCAGGGCTCGTCCCCCATCACTCCCCGGGTCTCCGTTCCCCCTCTCAACTCAGGGCCCTTCCCCCCAATCACCTCCCAGGCTCCTCTGCCTCATCACTCCCCTCCCCGGGCCTCGCTCCCCCCCCGAGCCCCGCTTCCCCTCCCTCTCAACCCAGGGCCCCTCCTCGCACTGACCCCGCGGCCGCAGCGTCTCTCCCTCCGGCCGGGCGGCTCCGTCTGGCGGTGCGCGGATGGCCCGACCCGGGCCCACGAGCCCCCGGCGCAGCGGAGGCGGCGTGAGCCCGCCCTCCCAGGGCGGGGCCTGGCCTGGCTCCTCCTCGGACGCGGGGAGGGGGGAGCAGGCCCAAGGGGGGACTAGGCCCGAGGGGGCGGGGCTGGGAGGCAGGCCCCCAAGGGGGGTCGGGGGGGGCAGGCCCCAAAAGAGAAGAGGGTGTTTAGACGCTCCCAAGGCGGGGGGGATTAGAGGGGGTGCCCAGTGCCCCCGACACAGCCCTGGGGCCTGGCCCTGTCTCTCTGCCCTTCGGCTGTGCTTGGGTTGGCCCCAAGGATGCATTTTTTCAGGGTGGGAGTTGCCCCTCACGGAGCCAGCTCTGCCCTCTAGTCTCCTTTAATATCCATGAGCAGGGGGGGCTGGCGAGGGGAAACAGGGCACAGCTGGGAAGGGGGTAGGGGGCTAGAGGGGTCAGGAGAGGAGAGATTAGAGAAGAGGGACTAGAGAGAAGCGTTGGGTACAGAGTAGGGACATGCAGGATCTGTTCTGCTGTCTAATCTACTGCTGTGATAGCACCAGGCTGCTGTTTGCAAGAGCTCATGGAGAAGGGTCCATAGAAAGCTGGAGGATGAGGAGGAAGGTCCTGGTCCCCAGCAGGATTTCATGTAAGCGTCACTCTTGATTAAACACAGCTGAGAGAGACATAAAGCCAGGAGGATGTGCGTGCCCGCACACACGAGTGAGCATACAGCACTGCTGGATCAGACTGTGAATGTTAATACAGCTGATGTCAGGGAGGATGATGCAGATACTAGGAATACCTTGATTTAACTAGATAAAATATGTATTTCATTTATTCCTATTTATAAACATTTTAAGTGCCTTTCCTATGCTTTGTGCACTCATCCCATAAAATAAAATATACAAGATAAAATATCAAGGATTGCATACATAAATAAATATCTACTCCACCAACCCTTGGCCAGCACCCCGCTCAAAACACCTGGGGAAAAAGAGAGTAAAATACACATTGCAGAATTTCTGGCCTGTGTATAGAAGACCATTATAAAAATTATAATATAAATGTATTTCCCAGCTGTTCCATTTCATATCAGCTGGCATGAAACTTCTATCTCAGCTATCCAATCGTTTAAACACAGTTTTGGGGAAAAAAGACTTTCTTGGGGCTGAGGTGGGAGAGTTTGTATATTTTCATTTTTACATATTGTAAAGCTGCCCTAGTTTTATTTGTAAATGCCAATGGTTAAACTGCTATGGCTAGTACATAGCAGCAAAACACACTCTTACTAAATGCAAATTCTAAACTAACAGCCAAACATCACAACATTCAAATACTGTGGTTTCCACATGAAATGTAATTTGTCCCTCTCTTGTACCACACATATCCAGTTAGAGGGAGCGGGCCAGTCTGAGAATACAAAAAGGTTGTTTACACATTGCCTGGCTGTAAGCACAACCTAGTGATCACATATTCAAATCAAGACACTCAAGGCCCTGAATCATCGACCCCACTGGGACACAATGCAAAGGAAAACAACCATTTTGTCTTGGAGGCTGCCAATTTATTATAAAATGAGGCTCTGCGCTGCTGCAGTTGAGCCAGAACAGTTAATCCTTCTTGCATCAGACAGTACTGTACCTTCAGCTGCTGATTCTGCTGGCTTGCTCAGCTGATTGTATTTCTCATTCCACCAATCCCTTTTGGGGGGGAACACTCTGCTCTTTCTGGTTTGGTGCTGGGTCCCCTGTCCCCACCTCCTGCCTTTGTCTCTGTTCACTCAATGTAACAATAGGAGAAAAGAGAAGCCATTCACTGCATACCGGCTGCTGTGTTGCAGCATAGCTGTTACACAGAGGGCCACATGAAAGGGTTGTAGCCCTGTGTGCAGTATAGATCAGTGGGACATGTTAGGCACTCACCAGGACCACGTGTGGTCCAGAGATGTGCTGTGGGCAGACTGGCTTTATAGCATGCTGCTTTTTACATTTGTGAGGAAACTTTGTGCTCATGAAAGTGAGTGATGAATAGCACTGGTTAGAGTCATGCATGGCAGCAGGAAGGTGCAGTGTAAGGTTCTACCACACAACTTTGCCAGTGCATATTAATCCTGATCCTCAGCCAGGGCCGGCTCCAGCATTTCTGCCGCCCCAAGCAAAACAAAAAAAAGCCGCGATCGGCGGCGGCAATTTGGCAGCAGGTCCTTCGCTCCTAGAGGGAGTGAGGAACCTGCCGCCCCCGAATTGCCGCAGGTGCCGCCCCTCTCCCTTGGCCGCCCCAAGCACCTGCTTGTTAAGCTGGTGCCTGGAGCCGGCCCTGTCCTCAGCACCTCCTCCTGTTCCAGTCTGGGGATCTGCACACATGCACACAGCTCTAGTGGGTACATGTAGCAGGTGGCATGGATTAATTCAAAAGGTGCCTGCCAGCCCAAGCTTTTGAAGCCAAAGCAATTTAGGAGATCATAGCAAAGCTTGATTTCGGGGTTTCAGCTAGTCACTTTGCTCATGGCATGGATTCTTTGTGTTCATGCAACCAATCTGCATGGCAGCCCCACAGGGTACCATGCTCTATATGCCAACTGCCTGCAACCCCCAAAGCAAATGAGCACTTCAGAGAGTGATCTCCAATCAATGCCATGACACATTTCTTTAACTTTTATTTTTCAAAGTCTCTTGCATGCATTGTGGCTTATCAATACAACCTAGTGGCTTAACATGGATAGGATTGTGCATATTTCTAAACAAATGGTGCTTTTTGAAACAAAATAAATTGGAAGGGTTTTGTCTTTGTAGAGAGACTCAAAGTGCTTTTTACTTGAGCTTCTATTTCCAGGGGTGGATTTATGAGACAAGCTTGTTGTATGGGTGGCAAAGGCACCATCACTGTAGAGATTCATGTAGATTAGTAGCCCATTCTGGCCTTGCTGGCTGTGGTTTTAACAGCAGCACTCGACTGAGTGTTCCACTATTTGAACTCCTT